GCCTTTAGCCCCTCCGTCGGGCAGGTCCTGGCGCCACCACTGAGGTGCGGCGCCAGGAATTACGAGGGGTCCACTCCCACACCCCCCCCCCCCCCCACGGTCGTTGAAAAATTAATTTGACGGGGGAAGATTAAATTTGTCGGGGGAAGATTAAATTTGTCGGGGATTTTTTTTATTTAAAGATAATAAAATTTTGTGTTAATCATGGGATTCTTTATTTAACAAGGATGTCGGGGGTACTAGTTAACCTGTCGGGGTTAACAAACCCCCTGTTGGAGGTACCAGCCCCTGTCGGGGAAGAGCTGGCTCACCACTGCAACCTATACGATTGCAACAGTATACCACACTTCAAACATACGGTAGCATTGCTCGCACTAAACAGTTGTTAATCCAGCATTGGTTGGGATGCTTCCCGCATTGGTTGGGATGCTACTGTTGATGGTCAAAACACCCAAGGGTTGTGGTTTACAAAGGAGTCGACTTAACATATTATTATACTTGAAATCATAGCTGTCCAGTTCACGTTCAGGGGCGGATCTAGAAGGGGGAACGTATCCCTCCCGTTTTAGCACTAAATTTTAAAAATGTCAATGCATATTAATGTTATGTGCTACTCACTTATCTATCCTGAAACTGTTGTGTGCGCCCCCCCCCCCCCCCCCCTGCGCCCCCCCCCCCCCGTTTGAAAAATTAATTATTAATTATATGGGAGGACTAAGTCTGCATACTCCAATTGGTTGCTAAATGAATTCGGCGCTGGGCAATTGACAAGTAAATGCCGCTCTCGGCTGCTCATACACCTGGGGTGAGTATCACGGAGGCGGACCATCTGTCCAGACAATTTAGAATTGATCTGGAATGGAATCTTAATCTTAGTAATTTTGAAACCATTTCGTTGATTTACGGTCGAACGGACATTGCTTGTTTGCTAGCCGTCTCAACCACCGGTTCCTGTATACGCTTCCTAGAAGCGTGGCCCAAATGCCTGCATCGTCGATGCCCTCGCCACGTTTGCAAATTTGTATGCGTTTCCACCATTTTGTCTTGTTTCTAGGTGTCTGCAGAAAGTTCAGGTCATGAGGGAATTATGGTTGTTCCCTTGTGGACTACCCAAGCGTGGTTCACAAGATTTATAATTTTGCTTATCGAACCACCACGTTGGATTCAGGTGACCAAGAACGTGATACTTCATCCACTAAAGGGCACCACTGATCACCCTTCGAGTCCCAAGCTTCAGCTAATGTTATGCAAGATATCAAGAAAAGCCTCCTTGACAGAGAGACTTCCTCAGAGATTACCGAAGTCACCATGTGTTTCTGGGGACAGGGCACTCAGAAACAATGTTTACCTCAAAAAATGGAGTTGGTTTTGTTTACATAGAAAAAATTATTTTTAATGCAACCAAATTTACCATATGTCATGAGTTTCTTGTAGAGCTTATCAACGGAGGGTCGTCATAATCTACATAAATACGTACTGCTACGGCAGCTTTAACAGATTACTTGTCGAGTTTTCTGCGGACTCTGCTCGTCCGATAATAGCATCCACTCCACTTGTTGCCCGATATCTAATGGTATTTTAAATTGCAGGAAGCCTTAGCCAAAATATGTTGCGCGGATGCACCCTTTGAGTGAGTTAAAACTTAAGCAGTTAACCCTGAAATTAGTTTGCTTATGGCATTAACGCCTGGACAAAGATGTCAGACGTTAACGAATTTAGATACTGGGTGTATGAAGAAAACATCTAAATATTTAATGTTTACATAGCCAGCCACATTAAACAAGATAGGCCTTTTAATGTGACAGCCTCTGTCGTGTTTCGGAATTATCATAATGAAAACTTGAGGGTATAAAATACTACGCTAGAAAACTACTTAAAGTGTAAGAGTAAGAGATACATTTATTTTGACGCTTCTAATTTCTTAAATAAAACCACATTATAGGCCTGTTGGAATTAGCACTGTAAGTAGTTGGCTTAGGGCACTTCTCAGTTTAGTTGGTATTAACGCACAGTACGCGGGCAGGTAGCGTTAGTAAGGCAAGTAAGATTCCAATCGACACCATTCTCGTACATGTGGGATGGTCTTCCGACTCAGTTTTCAGCAAGTTCTATAGTAAGCCAATCGTGGCTGAAAATTTGTTCGAAGGTGCGGTTTTAGAATGAAATTTCTAAGTAATGTTGAATTTTGCTTTGGTTTTGTTTGCGTCCATTACTTGAAAGTCTCATGTTGGCCTAAAGTTCAGGGTTAACATACCCATCATCCCTGTATCTCCCGCCCTTCATCATCCTTGCTGTGCGCGTCGATAATTGTGCACACGAGGATTTAAAGACTGCGGCGACTGGACGTGTTCTCATGTTGACCCTAAAGTGCCACTGCTGATATGGTAGATTTTCCACCAAACTTCACCTTACAGGTAATGCTTGTTTAATTTCCAATTCTAACTAATACGGTCAATTATAGCATTTCTAAACCCGGGTGCTTGTCTGGGCCACTCTATAACAAGTTCTTCCATAACGTGCAGCAATGTATTCTTGACTCAAATCGGTAAGCATAAGAAGAAGAAAGCCTTTATATTTCGGAAGTTGAAAAAATACCATGGCGATCTGAGGAAAGAAAACCCTGGACCCTCCGTCGGAAAGAAGTAGAAAACACTATTTTCTACAGTCTCAGTGTGCCATTTTCGGGGATTTAGTGTCTAATTTAAAAATTTGCTCTGTTCTAAGTTATTGCGTACGTCTACTTATTATAAATATACAGTATGATGTGAGTCAAGGCTTTCATCGCACAGACTTGTGCCTACGGGCTTTTTGTTCGACAAGCTTCCTCAGTGACAATTCTTGGGCCGTAGTATGCAGGATTACCGCCATTGTGAGTGCGTGGGTGTAGGAAATCGGCGGCGGAATCAAGAGGACAGGGCCAGGTGGATTGGTATTGTAGGGGTTCTGAGGGCTATGAAAGTGTGATTGCGTAATTTGAATTTTATAAGCCTTGTTATGGGTAGCAAACATCACAGGACAACTTTCAGTCATAAATAAATATAAATTAGTCATACTGTTTTCTGCGACAAAGTACTGTATTGCTGTGATATATACATTTTCGATAATTTTAGAAAAATACAAGATTATTGAAAGTAAACAAGTTCTCGTAATCCCGAAAGCTCCCATGAGGGCAGCATGATAGAGGCAGTACAGTATTTTGACCCTAACGGCCGCCCATAAAAAAGATATATTAATCCATCAATCAGTCGATTGTTTCTAGAGCTCCCGTAGAGGTAGTAGAGTATATTGGCCCTAACGGCCGCTCATACAAAAACATCTATTAATCAAAGAGCCGAGCGTTTCTAGCTCCTCATCAAAGCTAGAAACAATTGGTGCTATTCCTAAACACTTGCTAAACTCTTTTTTTAGCAAGACAGTCGCTGTGGTGTGCGACGAGAGTTGCTAGTACCGGGTTTACCGGGTAGCACAGACACGAATGGACCCTTAGGGGCGAAAAAAAGTCATTGATCCAGTTCCTAGTCCACGTACATATCAAGCGCCCTGAGCATCTTACATTAGATGGATATGTGCGCTATATAATACTACACTATTATTATTATTATTATTATTATTATTATTATTATTATTATTATTATTATTATTATTATTATTTGTAACAGCGTGACGAGCGAGCAAAAATCAATATTGTTCTCTCGGAGTGACCACGCTGCCTGGACATGTGCTACTGTACGGTATCTAACCAGTGGGCGTATCTAGGGGAGGGCGCACGCCCCAAAAATATGTCTCACGC